TTTTTTTTTTTTTTTTTGAGATGGAGTCTCACTCTGTCGCCCAGGCTGGAGTGCAGTGGTGCGATCTCAGCTCATTGCAACCTCTACTTGCTGAGTTCAAGCAATTCTCCTGCCTCAACCTCCTGTGTAGCTGGGATTACAGGCGTGTGCCACCACACCTGGCGAATTGTTTTGTATTTTTAGTAGAGACGGGGTTTCTCCATGTTTCTCTGAGCTGTGAGCGGGGAAGAAAATGGACATGGAGCCCAGCAGGCAGCCCCAATGTCCCCACAGAGAGAGCACTCACTGCCTCCTCGAATGTTGATGATCAGACTCCCGTTGATGACGGTGCATCCTCGGAGCTCCTGGGCAGACGTCACTGAGTCGATGGTCTTCTCGCCTTCTAGGAGGTGGCATACCTTGGGACAGGGACCCAGGCACGGGGTGCACAGCAAGCTAAGGCAGAGCAGACAGAGAGAGGGATAAGGGTGTTCAAAGTCCCTCAGATATCTCCGGCATCTTTCTGCCTGAGATGCTATTTCTTTGTATGTGCGTGAGACAGAGTCTTGCTCTGTTGCCCAAGCTGGAAGGCAGTGGTGCGATCTCAGCTCACTGCAACCTCTGCCTCCTGGGTTCAAGAGATTCTCCTGCCTCAGCCTCCACAGTAGCTGGGATTACAGGTGCCCACGACCACGCCCAGCTAATTTTCTTATTTTTGAGTAGAGACGGGGTTTCACCATGTTGACCAGGCTGGTCTCGAACTCCTGACCTCAAGTGATCCACTCGCCTCAGCCTCCCAAAGTGCTGGGATTACAGGTGTGAGCCACTGCACCTGGCCCTTTCTGCCTGAGATGGTATTTCTGAAAACGCAGTCTGCCGATCTACCATAGGGCATATTGCTTGATTGCTAAAATTGTAGATTCTGGAGCTGGGTGTGGTGGCTCCCACCTGTCATCTCTGCACTTTGAGAGGCCAAGGAGGGAGTGTTGCTTGAGCCTGGGAGTTCGAGATCAGCCTGGGAAGACAGCATACCATGCAGGGTCTCAAGTGATGGCACGAGTCCATCATGCTACGGCAAGGTCTTCTGACCTCAGCATTGTTCACATCTGGGGCCAAGTAACTCTCCACTGCGGTGGTGAGGGTGGCATCCTGTGCATTGGACGATATTAGGCAGCATCCCTAGGCTCCACTCACGAGATGCCAGTAGCATCCCTCCCATAAGTTGTGGCAATTAAAAATGTCCTCCAGGCCAGGCGCAGTGACTCACGCCTGTAATCCCAGCACTGTGGGAGCCTGGCCAACATGGTGAAACCCTGTCTCTACTAAAAATACAAAAATTAGCCAGGTGTAGTGGTGCCCACCTGTAATCCCAACTACTGGGGAGACTGAGGCAGGAGAATCACTTGAACCCGAGAGGCAGTGGCTGCAGTGAGCCAAGATCGTGCCTCTGCACTCCAGTCTGGGTGACAGAGTGAGACTCTGTCTCAAAAAAATAAAAAAATTGTAGCACCTTCCCCCTTTCTCTCTTCCTCCAGTCGTGTAAGATGTGCCTGCCTCCCCTTCACTTTCCCCCATGACTGTAAGTTTCCTGAGGCTTCCCCAGAAGCAGAAGCCGCTATGCTTCCTGTACAGCCTGCAGGGCCATGAGCCAATTAAATCTCTTTTCTTTATAAATTACCCAGTTCCAGGTATTTCTTTCTTTTTTTCTTTTTTTTTTTTTTTTCTTTTTTCCTATGAGACTGAGTTTTGCTCTTGTTGCCCAGGCTGGAGTGCAATGGTGCCATCTCAGCTCACCGTAA